GTATATTGGAGTCTAATGTTGGTTATTGTCATTTTGATTGCCTCTTTTGCCAGTGCGGCAGCTTTTTGATTTCCCTTAATGCCTACATGGCTAGGAAGCCAGGCCAAGATTATCACTATGTGGGCTTCTATCAAATAAAGGCAGGTTTCCAATATTTCATTTATGTAAGGGTGGTTTGGATTTTTTTCCTTAATTGCTATTGGGCTGAATGGGGAGTCTGAAAATATCATGAATTTTCTGTCTTTTGAGTTTTTGGTCATTTCAAACGCCATTTTTTTAGCTTGTAGCTCAGCTGTATAAATGGATGCATTATTCGGTAATCTAATTCATTTGTGGACTTGTCTGTTGGTGACTACAGCACCTGTTCTGTCCAGGATTTTTGATCTATCTGTATAAAATGCTTTGTAGTCACTGTATTTATTTCTCAGTTCTCCATATTTGCTTTGGCTCATGTAGTTGTTGGTTATGTTTTTTTGTTGTTCTATCAGTGTTAGGTCTATGTGAGGTTCAGAGATTACCCATGAGATATTTTATTTATTGTGAATGGTGTTATCAGGATTTCTGTTCACTTATTTTAGTGCTTCTATATAATATGCTTTTTGGCATGTTTGGTTATTTGGGTCAGATTGTAGTTTTACTGCATATTGGAGGGATAATATTTCCCATCTCAGGTACAAGGGTGGTTTGTTGGCTTCTATATTTAGACTTTACATAGGTGAAGTGCACAAGGCACCTAAACTTAATTACAGACCTTGATTTTGTATGATTTGTAGTCTTTTTAGGTAGGATTTGTGTGCAGCACTGTAGATAATGCATCCATAGTCTAATTTGTTTTTAGTCATTTTTGTTTTAGGTGATTACTGTGCACTTTAAAATTAAGCTTATTGTCTAATATGACTCCTAGATAATTTTTGTTGGACAATGGGAATTATGTACTGGCTTAGCTTTAATTAGGAGTCAAAGTGGTACATTTGTTTTTTGCAAAAATGCAGAGATGGTTTTTGAAAACCAGAAATTGTTTTCATTGGTCTATTTTTTCATCTTATTCAGACAGATCTATGTGTGTCTTTCTTGCTGATTCAGGCATATTTCAAGAGTTAAAATATTTTGTTAAAAAAAGTATTTGTAAAAATGTGCAAATGTAGCTCAGAAATGAAAACTAAAAAATTAATAGAAAAAAATTTTTTTAATTGGACACATGATTATTATTATTATTATAGCGATGTAATTTTTTTTAATACTAACATTCAACCAATACAAGGCTTGAGAGACATTCAAGGTAGAGGAATACTGTTAAAATGGTAATGATGAATGAAGTGTTTGATATAAATGAGGAGACTGTAAGAAGTGAGGATAAGGAAGATAGATAATGATGATCCTTATCTAGAAGAGGCCAAAATTGCAGTGTTCAGAAAAGCCCTTATGCATGAGTCTGTTCCATAAAATGGCAGTTATTGGGGAAAAAGCAAAGCAGAAGTTTCTTATTACACTTGGAACATGGAGGAAATTAAGGTGATTTGACTTCATGGCATTAGTATGGTGTGTCCTGGCTATACGAGTCTGAAATGTAATGGGCCAAATGTAATCCCCTAACTAGGTAGAGTGGCCTCTCTAGCCTTGGATGGCAGCCAGTCAAGGAGAACGAAAATAACGAATACCAAACCATGAAAGAAACAATACGGAACCAATCCACTATTTTTCCCCAAAAGTCATGGCGGTTCCCAGATAATAAAGAAAAGGAATGTGCAGAGCGCCATGATCTATTGTGAAGAGATATGGCATTAATAAAAAAACAAAAGGAAATGGTCCAAAACAAATTATAAATCAATTAGTAAAATTCAATTAGTGAAATTTTCCTTGGCTAACTGAGAATGCCAGGATTTATTTTCAAATGTTCATGATTAAAATTTTTTAATTGTTAATTTAAATGGGAACAAAAGAATTATCAAGAAAGCAGACATATTACTGAAGAGAATTCATTTAATTCTGTTTGTTATTTTAAACTTGAGAAAGTACTCAAGAAGAGTTGGTTGGAATAGTTCTGCTTGACTTGTTTAAAAAAAATCTATATTGCCTTGGTCACATTGCTGATTACCAGGTCAGCTAATAAATTGAGCATTTTGCAACTGACCATTTATCAATATATAGATTTGCTGTAACAAATCTGGACATTGATTACAATCAGGAAACAAACTAATAACACAACACATCACAAGTTTTGTTCTCCCCCTCACTACAAAAATAAAGCAGACTTTCTTTTCAGCCAAAGTATTAAAAATATTTTCCCTTGTTTTCCCATTTAAAAATAACATATACTAAAAAAAATAAACAGGTTGTATATCATGTTATCAAAGAACCAATATTCACTTCATAGAAAACTCTCTTGATATATAAATATACTAGCCTTGTAGGTACATTAGATAAAAGCTCATGATTCAGATTGTATTAGATCATTGCAAAAGTTTGTGCCTGATTAGAAAATTAAAAACAAAATTTTACATACTCACAAAAAATAAATATTTATTAGTCAAGTACATAGTCTCCATTGTTTTTAACAAATTTCTCCCATAATTCTACAAGATTATTGATGCCATTTTTGTAGAAACTGTGTTTTATGTTGGAATGTTGTGAGGTAGTTTTCCATTAACTGTACAGAGTCAAATTTTTAGTCATTTAAATTGTTCTGTGGAGACAAGAACAAATGAAAATCTGGAAGAGCCAAGTCAGGAATATACAGTGGGTGCTGGGTCCCATTTCAACTCTTTAAGATCTATTTTGCAACATGCAATCTTGGGTTGTTGTGGTGGAAAATGTCATCTTTTCAATTTACTAATAGCCACCATTTTCCTTGAATAACCACATTGAGACTTCTTTGCTGTTATTCTTTTACCAGCTGGAAAAAGCTCAAAGTGAGTTATCCTTCTGCAATCTCACCAAACGGACAACAACAATTTCATTGAATGCAAACCTGCTTTAGCCACAAGTTCTGCACATTCATAAGCTTGTTTCTAGCTCCATTTGCATTGAATGTTATCATAAATGATCCATTTTTCATTGCCTGTCACAATTCTGTCCAAGAACAGTTCCTTTTCATGGCATAACAGCAAAGAAATTAACACAAGAACGAGTTTATTATGTTCCATCAGAGAATGTAGCACCCACGTGCCAAGTTTGGAAACAAATCCAAATCTCTTCAAATGCTGAAAGGCAGTTGCAATATTGATTTTCACACTCTTAACAATCTCTTCTGTTGGATCTTCAGTTTAATCTCCACAATAACAAGTAGAGTGTTTTCATTGACATGGAAGGTCATCCACAGCATGGTTGATCATTTAGGTTAAAATTACTCTGAGAAAATCTGCTAAACAACTTTTTGACTATCTAAAGGGCTGGAGCATGGTCCAAATAAAACATCTGAATGATTTTTTGTAGCAATTCCGACGCTTAGTGCTTTCTGAAATTCATAGAGCATAATATGGCACAACGTTTCATCTTCCATCTTTAAGCCATTCATTTGTGAACAAAATTTCAATATTCAACAAAGTCTGACTCACAACTGAACAATACAAGGTTGCAATATAGAACACACCAGAAACTGAAACACCAATGTCAAGTTGTGGTCATTTTATATTAACAAAGAAAATTGGGGACAAACTTTTGCAATGATCTGAGAGTTGGTTCTAATGACAGTAAATCTATTTCTTGGTGTTGATGGTGATCTGTTGCTTCTGTTTTTGCTTTATGGAAAATAATCCTGAAAACTCCCAGTGGTTTTGTAAAAAAAATCATTTTTAGTAGACAGAATATATATTGGGTTGGAACATAAGTTTGTAGTATTTTTCAATAGGTGGCATTTGAACATATGATTTTGTTTCACATGTAATTGAAAGTTACAAAATATATACCTATTCCGAAAGGTGACATTTCAACACATCTTTCTATATGATTCTATGTGTGAATTGTGAATTTTAAATGTTTTTTGCATTAAAATGGAAAATAGAGGAAAATAAGATGCATTTTTGTCATTGAGAGGCTCTTATTTATGGAAAGAAAAAAAAGTTCCATTTATTGAACTTGTACCATAGCTGAGAGTTAGGTCTGCTATGTTCAGAAGTGGAAATTTTGATGTGGAAGACTGAGAATATTCCATCAAGCCTGCAATCATTAATGATGACTAAATCGAAATGCTGATTAAAAATAATCCAGGTCACCGGACATGGAACATCATAGAAATACTTCACATATCTAAGTGTTGTAAAGCATCTGAAAACACTTGGATACATGAATCACTATTTGTTTGGGTACCTCACGATTTAATGGAAAACAAAAAAAATTGATGGACAGCATTTCCATCTGAGACAAAAACAATTTGTTTTAAAAAAAAATGATCCCAGGTGATGAAAATGGATCGTTTACAACAATGCAGAGCAGGAGCAAAAAAAAGCCCTGGGGAAAATGATAGGAGCTACCATTAACCACTCTAAAAGTCTGCATCCAAAGAAGGTGATATTGTTTATCTGGTTGGATTCAAATTGCCATGCTTATCACAAGCTCTTTATACAATATCAGACATTGAATACAGGCAAGTACTTTTCCCCATTTGGAGAAATTAAAAGCAGCAATCAATGAAAAATATTCAGAATTAAACAATTGAAAGGGTGTCATCTTCCATCAGGAAAACACAAAAAATCATGTCTCTTTTGAAGACTTTACAGAAATAGGATTGCGCTTGCCATACCCACCTGACCTTGTATCTTTGGATTACCACTTATTTTGATCCCTACAAAATTCTCTTAATGGGAATAACTTCAATTCCCTGGAAGCTTATAAAAACCATTATATCAGTTCATCTCCTAGAAAAATGCCAACTTCTGTGAGGATGGAATCATGAAGTTGTCCAAAAATTGGCAAAAGGCAATGGAACAAAATGGCACCTAAGGGGTAGAATAAATCTATGTACAAATATCTAAATACTATCTTTCAAATTCACTTAAAAAATGTTATGTACTTTTGAAAAAAAAATAGTTAAGATAGACAAATACACAAACCGTGAGTTGTAATAAACTTTTTTTATGATTCATTTCCAACTGTACAATTTCTTCTCTGTGATTTACACTCAGATCTTGGATTTGTAACTTATGTAAATTGTCAGCAGCTGAAAAAAATTTTAAAATATGCCAAAAACTAAAATCAAACAAAGAAACAATAAATGTTTTTAAGAGTAAAATTCAAATTTATGAACTTTAAATACTCATAATGAAATTTATGCATTATAACATGTTTTTAGTCAAATATATTCAGTGCCTTGAGATTATGAGATAGAAAATGGAAGGAGATTCTTATAAAAAGAAATACAAATTATTATTATTTTCTAATCATAAAAATACATTTCTCAATCTTAACCATCATCCCAATCAAGTCTGTAGCTGTGAAGAATAAGAGATTTACACAGCAACCTATAAGTGAATATTTTATTTTTAAAGTAGTGTTGCTGTAAAAGGATGATCTCAGCCTTGCTTTATTCCAATGGTACAATGAGGTCATAACTAGCAACCTTTTTGACCGTTGGAGTTACCAGAAGGGAGGTAGAATTTTACCATTGATCTGACTTTGACGCTCCATTCCTGGTTTTGAGATCCATCAACCAAGTTTATTAGAGAGGCAGTCTATCCTGCTATTTTAGTGCACAGGGAATGCAAGCACACTTGGTTAAAACTTAGTTTGCCAATTCAGTCTTTGGTGCCAATAAACATCACACCAATCTTGACTTTATTCATTAAACTATTATAAATTAGAGATTACTGATAGTAGAGAAGATTTAACAAAATAAAAAAAATTATGAAAGAATAGATTCCCAACAGAAAAAGATTTCAATATAAACATAGGAAGAGAAATTTATCAAAGCATCATCTTTGCCTACTTACCTTCTAGAACCTCATCTTCATCTACAATGTCATTTTCTAATTTTTCCTTCAATTCCAAAATAGTTTCCTACAAAGAAAAGACGCCATTTTAAAAATATACATTTCAAATGGGAAATTAGCTATTTTAAGTCAGGTGAGGATTACTTAATAAAAGTATTTAAAAAAGTCAGGTGAGGATTACTTAATAAAAGCATTAAAAAAAAGTCAGGTGAGGATTAATTAATAAAAGCATTAAAAAAAAGTCAGGTGGGGATTACTTAAAAAGCTTTAAAAGATTTGAAGAAAGTATTTAAATAGCAAGAGGAAATTCTGCGAGTCAAACAATTAAGATTCAGCAGGAAAGAGATAATTTTGGAATTTTCGCTGTATTTTTCATTTAACTTTCTAATATAAGCTTTGTATAATAGATTTTACATAGGGACCTCCACAGAAAATGTGATACCTAAAGTTTAAAATGGATTTTTAAAAATGAAAATTTTTTCTTGAAGCTTTTATTTTCAAGCTAATAGATTAAATTTAATATTTCCAATAAGCAAAATACTTTGCTTTATTTCAAAAACTAATTTAAATTGATTGGAAGGAGTTTTTTTTGGGTTTTTTTTTTTTGCTAAAATAGCTGATTAGCATCCATTTTAGTCATCTTTTATCTCAATGTAAAATTATTTAAAAAATGTTCTAAAAATAAAAAATATACATTTCTAAAATTTTATTTGAGGAATATTAGCTAGTTTAATGCATAATTAGCCTGATTTGAAACAAATGTTATTTACTTTAAGTTTAAAATATCTCAGAAATGTATTGTTTTTTTTACACAGCGATAACATGTTTATTAATGCTGTTCAGATGTTGACAGTTTGATAACAGATGGATGTTTATCTAATGTTCTACTAGGGTTTTATCCATAAAAAACTAATTGAATATAATGTGAGCGCCTTTTATATATAATTTTTAAGTACTCAGTAATCTTAAAAATTTAGGAAAATATTCTCCATAATCTGTTTTATTGAATTTTAGATGTTTTGGCTTTAAATTTACTATATTTATCTCACTTATTTTCTGGTAATGACATGTATGAATATCTGTATCTGCAAAACTTGGTACATTTAGACATAAAAAACAAAAAAAAAAATTCAAAATTAATTTAAAAATATTGGAGTGTGATGATTTGTATAATCATTTATGATTAGTAAATATAGTTTTTACTTAATAATATCAAAAAGTGTGAAATTAATAGAGTATTTTAAAAGATTTAAAACTTAAATTATTCTAATTAAAATTACAGAAATAATGAAAACAATTTTTGTAAAAATTCATTATTCATCAAAAAAATTTTTTTCTTAAGACAATAGTGTTATATCTTATTTAAAAAAGCAATTAAAAGAATTTCTAATTAAATAATATCAGTTTTATTGCATTTTTTATTTTATGATACAGAGCATATTTTCAGTAAATGGTGTTTCTGTTTGACAAAAACAAAATGATTATTTAAATTCTCTAAAGAGTCTTGCTTTTTTTTTAAGGGGGTGAAATTTTAATTTTTCGAAATTTCTTAAAATTAAATAAGTGGGGATAACATATGTAAAAATTTTCACCAGGATTACAAAAAAAAATAATTCAAAAACAATTTGATTCATTTGTGAATAAGTCTTGAAAATTCCATTAAAATCCAACATTTATTTAATTTTTGCAAGAATTTCCAAATTAATGTTTTTTTACCATAAAAAAGATGCTAAAATTCCCTATACTAATCTAAACCCCGTCCTACTGACACAAGAAAAACAAGATTTTTAACCAAAATTTTGAATGTATTAAAAAGGCAAAAAATACTTTGCTCTTTTCTCTTAATACCTTGGTCTATTTTTTTTTTTTCAAGTTTAGGGCCTTTTTTCATCATGTTATGCTCTTTTTTCAGCAAATCAGTGGAGGTACCTAGTGTTATAGAATGAAAAATAACTAGTGCTATATAAAGCCTACTATTACTGATCTTTATATTATTATGCAAAATATTTACATATAGCAGGAATCAGCAAATTTCATACATCCAACTACATTTGTTATGAATGGAATTTTTTTTTTTTTTTCAATAATGTTCACTCTGTATAAGACCCAAGAGCCACTCGAGGTAGAGGGTTACAGAATAAGAGGCATAGTTTATGGGGATATGTAGGGAAGATAACAGTTACTCTAGACTTGAACAGCTTAAGATTGTAGCGATCGGGGAAGGGTCCTCTTGGGAGTCAGTTTCACAAAGCAACAGTTCAGTGGAAGCTGTTGCTTGAGTGAAACTTACATCTCACCATAGAAACACAAAGAGAATGAGGGCAATTCACTACAATGGGCGTAGCATGGCAGGTCTTAGCTATGAAGGTTAGAACAGGTAGAACTAAGGAATGTAGTTTGTCTGAAAACTTTCCATGGAAGTAGCAATAGAGCAGTGAGAAGCTTGTGACATTTTTTTAGTCGGAAAAGGCAGGGTTAGAGTGGAAAATAATTCATTACCCACAAAGACATAGAGGCACTTCTGGATTATCAAGACTGGAAAGGGAAGAATTAATAAAATATATGATCCAGTTGGATAATTTCCTTTTCAGAAGTCATCTTATTTGAAGAATTTTTTTCTTTTTCCTAGACTAAGTGAAAATGGTCATTTTTTTATCAAAATCATTAATTCATTTACAGTCCTTTCAATCAATTTTATCTTTTTAACGTGTCAGCCAATATTTTTATCCTTGTCTTTCAATAATTAGACATGCATGACAAAAAAAAAATTCTAACGATTATGTCAAACATAGATTTCGAAATCATTAAAACGAATCAGAAAATCAACCTTCAATCTTCTAATTCAAGTCTCACTTTAACTTGTTATACAGAGACATCACATATTCATTAATGAAGCTTTATTCTATTAAAGTTCAATTAGCAAACAAAATTAGCACAATAAGTTCTTCATACAAATATGATAAAATATCAATAAATGAAATCATTGAAGAAAAAAATAAAAATTACTTCATTTTGTTTGATGAGAGAATCAAGTTTGGATGGCACTATCACTTGGTTCAGTTTAAGACTGGTGATATGTGATTCAAGGTCATTAACTTTACACTGCAGTTCAGATATTTGACTATTCTTTTCCTTAATTTCTTTGTCAAGTGCCTGTATATTTTCCATGTAAAGCTGAAAATGTAAAAATACAAAGTATTACAGAAGAAACAAAAAAAGGTCTTATACATTGATATTTGTTTTTATTATAGAGAAGTTATACAAGCTAAAAAATAAAAGCAGCAATGAGACAAAATCAAACAATTCCTTATGATGATGCAGTTTTGTCATATTGATATAGATATTGGCAGCATCATTTCTGTCATTTATATTGCCTCTGTTTTTACTAATGTTGTAATGTTGATTGTATTGTTGATGTTTTGCTGCTGATGATGTTGCAGATGTTATGCAGTTAATGTTGATGATGTTAATATTGCTGCTGATGTGCTGTTAATGTTGCTGATGTATTGTTAATTATGTTATTCACTTTATACGGTTAATGTTATATTGCTCATGTTGATGTTATATTGTTGATATTATGTTGATGTTGTTAATGTTTTTGATGTTATGCTGCTAATGTTGTTAATGTTGCTGATGCTATGCTAATGATGTTGTTCATGTTATGTGTTAATGTTGTTGATGATGATGTTATTATTCCTTCTTTTGCTCTTTTCACTTGTATTTGTTTTACTAACTTAAACACAAGTTTCCATTGACGGAAATCCAAGTGAGGATCAAATTTACTAGCAATGGCTTGTCATATTAACATGCTAATTAGTGCTCTAAGTATAACTTAGCAGTAGAACATAAAACTGAACACACCTGAGGTTCAATTTCCAGTTTTAGAACAATAAGGCTTATTATAGGACAGCCCAACGAAAAAAAATTCTCATTTTGAGCAAAGAAAAAAAACCTTTTCCATGATAATCAATTTTGTACCTGAAAAACCTGGAATAATTAGTTGTTGCCTAAAAACAGAGGAATTCTTGTTACCTTTTTGTTGGTGTTAATTGAATATATATGATTCACATTGTCATGCAGGTTTCATTGCAGGAGATGTGTGAAAGAAGAAAAGGAAAGAAAAAAAAGCATTTTCTAATGCAAATGCTTTGTGTAAGACTTTTAAGAGTTTATATTTTGTCTTTATTTACATTTATTTATTTTTAATGGCTGTTTGGCAAGGTCATAAAAACTGACCTAATTACAAAGAACATTATTCAAGTTTTCCTTCCCATTTCATGATAGCATTGCTAAACCTCTTGACAACATTATTATTCCTTCCCATTATCAGAGACCAAATTAAATTTACATTGGAAAAATAGATTTTGTGGTTTTAAAGAGAAATACTGATTTAACAAAATCTAGGAACTTGATATAATAGGCATTACGCAGAGTAATCGAGTTGTGGTCGCTGATACTTCATATTCGACTAACTGTCGTCCGACATCGACTGACTGACTCACCAACTCACACATTACTCTTACTACTCCTACTTATTATAGGTGGGAGAGTCTATTAACTATAGAATAGGTGTGTTCCACCATAACAAATGGCTAGATGCAAATGTAAGTTCTATACTAACAGTTTCTCTATCGTCCTTTTTGCTTATGTAACTCTCTTCCGGTTTCTTGCTTTCCAGTCAAGTCTGATCTTCAGAAATTTTAAGACACCTACCTGATATGTGATTGGATGAACAGGTGGCGGAATGGGTGATAAAAAGGCAAACCTTAATACAAACTACGAATGGTAGAAAGTTGTGGAGAGCCATGATCAGCCACCTTCTAAATGGACATGGCATATAAAAGTGTTTTTGATTCCTTTGCTGTAATATTTAAATACTGTCAGGGTTCTTTTAATTTACCTTAGATCATACTCAGCATTTCTTTTTACGAATTTAATTTTACTTTCTATCTAAAAATTAACATCTGTGAGACTCGTTCAGATTACCATCTTTCTATTCAACTGGTTTGATTGTGATGCACACCTAAAACTAAAAGGGAACTGAATTATTAACAGCATTGGAAGAGTGATAATTGTTCATATATTAACTTATCTTACTTATTATAAAACGCAGGTTGTGTGTGTGTGTGTGTGTGTGTGTGTGTGTGTGTGTGTGTGTCTGTAACGTTTATATGTTGGATCGAATTTCCTACATTTTTTAGCCGATTTCAACAAAACTTCACAGGACTACATAAAATTACCTGGGAAAATGGGAAAAACCCAGTTGTTTTTTAAGAAAATCAATTTGAAAAAACGATTAAGACACATCGTGAGAATGAAAGGGGGACAACTCACCCACGAAAATGTAAACAAAAGAGCATAGCATGATGAAAAAGACGCCGAACTTGACGAAAACAAAATTTTATCGTCTAATGTTCATATTATTATTAAAGAGGAAAGATCAAAGTATTTTTGGAGTATTTTTTTTACATTTTTAATCGTTCCTAGCACGTCTGAAATTTTCGTTAAAAATATTTTTTTTGGTCAAAAAAGGACAGATAATCAATCATTTTTCATTTTTTAGATTTGATAACAAAGATTAAAATCTTACTTTGATATTCTTTTAAAAATCAATTATCATTTTTTCAAAACTGATTTTAATAAAAACAGATATTATACTGTTTATTTAAAATATTTTGAACCAAGCTTAACTTAGCTTCTGCGCCGAAAAAATGTAATTTGAAAATAAAACAAAGCAGGTCATAACCTTTCGTGTCGCTTGACGATTGACGAAAGGCACATTCATGACGTTTAGATAACTTATGGGAGGGTAATTCTTTCTACGGATGGAAGGAAGTGAAATTATTTAAGTGAACAAATAATTTACCTCATTACTTTTAAGGAAAACTTTCAGCGCTGTAATTTTTTATTTTTTATTTTTTTAGTACTTAGCTTTCATTTTTACGTTTACGATGCTTTATGGAAAATATAAAGAAATTAAAAAACAAGACTGTTAATAGTGAGATTAAATTTCATAAGAAAAAGGTATCTAATTAATTTAGGTACCTTTCTTATGAAATTTTATCAGAAGTGTACATAAAATTTTATGTACATTTATTACATTTTACTGTGTTATTTGTATTTCCATTCATTTCATTATTAATTTTGATATTTCATTTATGGAAAAATGTCATAACTGAGATTATTATAAAAATAAGATCATATAAATTAAAGTTTAGCAGTAGTTAAATTTCATAAGATGATACTGTTACTTGTAGGTACCCTTCTCAGTTGAAATTGAAAACTCAAATTAACTTCTCCATACGTGTTTCGCAAAAGTAAAGGGCTTAACAGCGGAGAACAATGCTGAACTCAAATAATGCAACTAAATTGTATTCTGGTTGGTCTTCCGTACTTGATAATTACTGTCCGACTATAAACACAAAAATTACATTTCTTAATTACCATGGCTAATCTGATTGGTCCAAATTATACAATTTTCAAAGCGCTAGACAATTAGAATCTCACACGGACATTTTGAAAGGTTGATGTTGCATTTAACTAATGTTAAAATATTTTTTAAAAATCTTTTTAAAATTAAAGAAATAAGAAATAATTGTATTAAAAATTCAATTTTCATTGAAAAAATTTTTTGCTTCCAGAAAATATTGTCCATATTCATAAAAACAAATTAAAACAAATAAAAGCATTTGAAACTAAATAATATATTTGTTTTATTGAGTTTTGTATGTTACAATTCACAGCTGATTTTCAGGTACATTGGCCAAAAAAAAAAAAAAAAAAATACATGATTTGCATTCTTCAAAGCCTTGTGCTTTTAACTATTGTAATCACTAAAACCGATGGTCTCGAATTTCTAGAGTTTTTCATAAAATTAGTTATGGGGGTGTTAATAAATATAAAAAAAATATTTCTGCCATGACTTTAATAAAAAAAAAAAAATATATTTATAATAATTTCGATCATCTGTGAATAGTTTCTGAAAGTTTCATTAACATCTGACAATTATTTTTATTTTTGCAAGATTTTCCAAATTAATGTGTAAATACAAAAAAACGCGCTAAAATTATCTATGTTATTTACTACCCCTTGTTGCGACAAAGAGAAACAAGGTTTTTTAAATCAAAATTTAGAATATTCTAAAAAGATGGAAAAATTTTTAAAAATAAAAAAAAAATTTAGTCTATCCTCTTCATAAAAACATAAGCATTTTGACGATAAAATTTTGTTTTCATATGCTCTATGTTTTAGCGATTCCGTGGAGTGACTTAGGTAAAAAAACCCAGGTTGTGTGTGTGTGTGTGTGTGTGTGTGTGTGTGTGTGTGTGTTCCTTTATATATGGGATTGGATTTCTTACATTTTTCAGCCGATAAAACAAACATCCACTTTTTTTTTGGCAGGTAGTATTTCTTATTGTCTTGCACACTTTTTTTCTTTATTTACATTCAGAATGCTTTAAAAATTCCATTTACAAGACAATTGTTTATAATAAAATTCTATTCACCAATCGATAGACTCATAACGATTGTAAACAATGTTTTTTGTTTGAGTTTGACCAATTCGTAAAAAAAAAAAACTAATTAAGACATGCGTGTCCGTCAACCTTAAACAATAATCTTTGTCAATTTTATTTTTCAGTCTTTATGATGGTCGATACTTGATCTATCTCTCACTGTTACATCCCCGGGCAACGTTGGGCTCTACTGCTAGTAAATAATATACAAACAGCATTACATTTCAATGATTTCTTTTGTTTACAATAATGTCCACCTTTTACAAGGTCCAAGAGCTACTCAAGATAGAAAGTTACAGAGTAAGAGGTAAGAGGCACAGTTTACAGGGATAATATGGGAAAGATAACAGTTGACCCTAGTCTTGAACAGACTATAAGATTATAGTGATCAAGAAAGTATCCTCTGGAAGTTGATTACACAAAGTAGTAATTTGTGGAACTTACATCTCACCAATGGAATATGAAAGGGATGGAGGTGGTTTAGCATGGCAGGTTTTAGTTATTGAAGTCTAGAACTGGTGGAATGTCATTCATCTGAACACTTTTCATAGAA